CTAATGCCACTTTGCAGTGGGAGGAATTTAAGTTACTAGTGTTACATTTAGGGTGATTTATCATAGTGGGAGGATTCATAACGAAATCGTAAGATTGTATGTTTATAGAATGTTAGTGATAACAAGATTCTTGATAAACATATAGTTCCTCCCTAGAACTATGAATGAACGCCCATTTCTATAGATGCAAGAAATTGGCTTAGTGCTATAAGAATCCAAAGTGGAAATGATTAGACAGAGAAAAGTGAAAACCTTTTAAAAGGTTAGGCTTAAAGTAAGAAGGTTTTGTCGGAAAGAAATGGATCGACTACGAGGAAACTTTCTATCTAGTAGCCACACTTTAGTCTATTTCGAATTCCTAAAATCTGTCAGTGCCATGCTTTAATTTGGTAGATGGATGTCAAGATTTCGTATCTCTTGACGAGTGCATTTCACGATGCAAATTAAATGGATTTTATCTTAGTGCCATATGCATTGCTATGCAAACTTAATAAATTCATTTATGAATTTAAGCAAATTGCGCATATCATGTGATATTTGGATTGATCATAGAATCAATGTTTTGATTTTGATTAGGAATCTAGATATATCACATTTTGTAACAGAAGCGTGGTGAAAGTCTTAAAACATGTATTAGATAATAATTTCCTTTTAGAAAATGATTTGAAAATTATTTATGTAAGGGTATTGTTTATCGAGTCAAATCAATATAGATAACTTGAGTGAAACTATTTATGTCGTATGGATCATTTTATAGGATCTATGAAATAAGACATTAAGTTGTCACGGACAAGTTATATTGATTTAAATACTTGCCAAATTTAGCATGTACAAATTCCAAGGAAATGATTGTTTCTTTCAGTCACGGAGTCACTCTATCGAGAAATTAGTATCTTTGAACAAGTAATTTGATAGAGATGTTGAAGGCAGTTCCTTATTGTAAAGGAAGCCTTACATTTTCTATAGTAAATAATTAAATTCAAGGTTTGCTTTGCATCTTGCATAGTTAGCAAATGTGAATTTATTTAAGGCTAGTATGCTAGACTGCGGTAAAGTATATTCTTAAGTATTCAAGGATACAAGATTATATACTAGTTTACTAGGCGGATAGTCTTGGTACGACTCAATAATTAACGGTCGAGCATAGTAATTTTTCTATAGCATGTTACCACTGTGGGAGATTTATTTTCCTAAGGAAGTGAAAACGTATAGTGGGAGGTTTATGCAATTTTGCGATTGCATATTCTGCTAGATATACAATGTGTGCTTTCACATCGGATGATAGCCCTATAGATATGTTCTATGGATGGGTTAGAGATGTTGAGCTGCGAGTCTTTGAGTCTAAGTGGGAGATTGTTAGGATAATAGACTAAAAGTCTCGTTTTTAGCTACATTTTTTACTAATAAAATAGTTTATTATCATTTTATGAGAATCTGCACTAGGGTATTCAATGCATTTAATTGATTGTTTGTCAATTAATTAAAAGTATAAGTCTAATATTCTAATAGTATTCGAGATGGTGTGCTACGGCGCACATAAAGATCATTTCGAAAGTTCGTTTAGAATATAAAGATAAACGTTCACAATCTAGATGGAAATGGACTAACCATTGGTAAAAGATTGTAGCACAATATTTAAGTGATTGGTCTTGATCACAGTAAACAGCGAATAATTTTTGTAGTTATTGTTTTGACTTATTGTGCTAGCACACCCGGCATGTGTTGAACCGGACAAAGTGAAATAATTGTTTCATCACTGTTCAAAATGAAACTGTATTATTTCTAGTCGATAGTAAATTACTTAATCTCTTAATCCCTAAATAATTAACGTACATATTTAATTGATGATCTCTACTTTGATGTCAAAATGGGAAAGATTCCTATATTGAGTCAAATGGCCCCCGGTGCGTTGGGTAGAGACATTGAGAATTAATAGGTGGAAATTAATTATCGGAAGGAATCCACATCTCTGAAATATGAGATTGATATTAACCCTTGAGTAGCTTATAAGATTTGTTTATGCCAAGTCCTGGCCAGGTGGATTTCGTATCCGACATACTCAAATAAATTAAGCGGGCAAGACTAATGAAAAGAAACCATTTAATTTATTTAGCAGTGAATAAAGTATTTGGTCGTTATAAGATATCTTAATGTGGGGAGAATCTAAGTAATGATCGACCGGAGCTCGAATGTAATATTTGAGAATATAAACGGGAGTTCAATAATTATTTGGTAGTGGAAAATAAATTGTTATTTAATGATTAATTAAATGAATTCTTTTAAGAGTTTGGATTTAATTAATTATTAGTTGTCCGATTTATATTTTCTCCTTTAGTCCCTATTGTAGCCCAATGGATTTTCTAATTAATCGAGAAAATAAAGTTCAACTAATATTATATATTGGAATTAATATAGCCGAAAATTAAGTCCCCATTGGACTGCAATTTTCGACTATATAAAGTTATAGAAGGAGTGGGATTTGTTCCCATGTAATCCTCTCTATGTGTGACTCTAATTCCTTGTGCTATATATAATAGAGATTAGGTTGATGAGAAATAATAACTCCTAGACCCCTATTTCACGTTGGAGAGAAATATTTTTTCTCTTCTTTTCTCTCTAAATTCTCGATTATAGGTTTAGATTTCTTCAAGTACAAGTCCACCCTTGTAGAAGAATTATTAATCCGGGATATACAATAGAAGATTATAGGTTTTTAGAGCAAACTATAAATCCCGAATTTTCTGAGCAGTCCTGCGAAGAAATTCACCATAAATCAACCGTTAGTCGGATAGGCTCGATATTTATACAGTAGCTTCCTAACCCTTAGATCTACAATCCGTAGGAAGGGTTTCTCGATCGGATCAACGGTCGCGGAGATATCGGTGAAGGAAGAGGACTGAAAATTTCTGGACAACAGCTTTTACGAAGGTTGAAGGCTTGACGTGGATCCTCGTTCGTGCGCCGAAGATATATTCGACGAATCTGCTCGCGAAAACTGTAAGTTGCTAGATTAGATTTATTCCGCTTTAAACGAATCTAATCAAAGCATGTTAATAAAATTAAAACCGGCTAATCTAGAACCTCTTGCGAATTTTCATTGAATCCTGGGCTTAACATCCCAACAGTGTATCCAAGTATATCGAGTAAAATCATCAACAATTGTAAAAAAATGACCAGCTCCAGAAGTTGATTTTAAACGATGTGGTCCCCAAATATCACAATGTATTATTTGAAAAGGTGCATGGGAAGAAATAGAACTAGACGGAAAAGGTAATCGAGTTTGTTTAGCTAGAGGACAAATTTCACAAACATGACTCGAATCAAATAAATAGCAGGATTACTTTTATTAAGGACTTGAAGCGGAAGGAAAGAAGGGTTCCCAAGACGTTGGTGCCAAAGATTTGACTGTTTGCGGATGGTGAAAGCGAGGGCTGGCTTTTGGGTTTGTGTCAAGTAGTAAAGACCATCATGTTGCTTGCCCAGGCCAATCATCCTCTTCGTAGCAGCGTCCTGCACAACACAAAATCCGGAAGAGAATATTACTGCACAATTCAGTCCTTTTGTTAACTTACTAACTGATAGTAAATTAACTCTAAATTGAGGGACTTTAAGGACTTCATCAAGTTTAATGTTGGGTGTAATTTGTAAAGATCCAATTGACTCAACACGTTTCTGGCCACCATTTGGAAGTCCAATGGTGGTTGTAGGCAAAATCTTTGAATCAAGTAACTCGCAAGGAGTTACATGATCTGTAGCCCCGCTATCAATGATCCAACACAAATGTGATTGTGTTATACCTGCAAAAGTTCCAGATGAATGCATGATGTTACCTGCGGCATTGACGAAGTGTTGTTGGTTACCATCAGTATTGGATTTTCGTAGCATCGCCATCAATTGGTTGTATTCATCCGAAGTAAATTTTGGCACGTCATCCCCCATGAGAGACTTTCCACTCGTTTCGAAAATTTTGTCTGCCTCTAGGTTCACATTATTTGCGGTTGGACGCCGCTGATTGGGAAGCTTTATGTTCTTTCCATGGAATTTGTGGCCCACTAGAAAACCATGTAGGTAAAAACACTTCTCTATGCTATGATTATCTCGATCACGGTAAGAGCAATGCAGGGGCGTCCTTTGCCTTTGAGTCACCTTATTATCTCGATTTGTAAGCATTGCATGGTGGTTCAGATTCCCGCGATTAAGAGAAACTTCGGCCTGCTTTTCTTGCTGAAGAACAAGAGAATAAACCCTCCGTATATCAGGTAAGGGTTGCATCAATAAGATCTGCCCTCGAACAGCAGCATAATTGTCGTTCAATCCCCTGAGAAATTGCATGACTTTTTCTTTTTCTTCTCTGTGCTTGAGTTTTTCCATTCCACCACATGTGCAGTACACTGGCTCATGATAAGACGAAAGTTCATCCCAAAGAGCTTTAAGTTTTGTGTAGTAGATAGAGATTGATTGTTGGCCTTGTCTATGTTGTATAATGTCCTGTCGGATTTGAAAGATCCTTGAATCGTTTCCCTGTGAGAAACGTTCTTGTAGATCTGCCCAAATTTTGGCAGTCGTTTCGGCATAAATCACACTGCTCGCTGTGCTTGGATGAATAAAATTCAATAACCAAGAGATTACCATGTCATTACATCGCTGCCAAGACGGGAAATCGTCATCTGTAGGAGAAGGGGGTTTGATCGAACCTGTGATGAATCCAATCTTGTTTTTGGCACTTAAACTGATTCTCATGGCCCGACTCCATGTGCCATAGTTGTCTTCTTCGAGTACTCTAGACATGAGTATTATCCCTGGATGATCTAAATGGTGTAGAGAATATGGATCAGTGGCTTCGATAATCACCTTAGTTGGTGTTGTTCCCACCACGTCATTTATTTTGTCTTTCATGGTTTTGTGAATGAAGAATAGGTTGCGGAAGCGTTTATAGGGGTTTAGGTTTACCAGGTTCGGTGCTTTGGTACCATGAAAGAATATTGAGAGATGTGGAAATCATGTGTATTCAACTGGTAATCTCGTACAAATGAGAATACATGTCTATATAGTACATTGGCTATCATTATTCTAGGAAACTACTGACTAATGAATCAATTAAAATCAATTAAATATCAAAGGCATATATACTACTATTATTAATATATTTTCTTTCTTGTAATAAATACTAATACTAATACTAATACTAATACAATACTAATTCAAATACTAATAATAATACCTATAAAAAAAATGTTGAAATAGTGCACATAAATATTCCATTAAATAAACTATTGAAATATTGGGAAAAACTAAAATATTCCATTAAATATAATACATATAAAAATTGAAATAATTATTGAATTTTATAGGAGACACTACATTTTTAATATACAACAAAGAATGAAAAAATAATTGCAATCTTAAGATCATACAATTTTGAAGTAGGAGTTCAACAAAAACAATTCCCCAAATATCACCAGTATAATAATTCATTACAATTAAAAACAATTCTCCAAATATTGTCAGTATAATAATCCATTCCAATTTAAAAAAAAAAAAAAAAAACCTCAAATATTGTCAGTATAATAATTCATTACAATGAATCTAGAAGTGCAAACAACATAGTTCAATTAGGAGTATAATTTTACACATTTAATTATCAATTCAATACACTAGTACGATCTTAATACTAATTTGCAATGAATTTTGTATTGGAAGTAACATAGTCCAATTAGAAGTATATTTGTACACATTTACCTGTTAGATCCAATGCACTAGTATTGTTATAATACTAATTTGCAATGAATTTAGTAACATAATCCAATTAGGAGTACAATTCTACTTATTTAATTATTGCATTCGATAAATTAGTATTACTTTACTATTAATTTGCAAGTATTGTATTAACTTAGTCTAATTAGGAGTATAATTCTAGACTTTTAATTATATAACTCAATACATATTAGTATAATTTCAATACTAATTTGCAATGAATTCGGTATTAAAAGAACATAGTCCAATTAGGAGTACAAATTTTCATATTTAATTATATAATTCAAGACATTAGTAGTTATCTGAATACTAGTTTTCATAATAAAACATACATTTAAACAAACAAAATGCAAAACATATATTAAATATAAATAACCAATAAATAATAATAAAAAAATAATACAATATATCTAACCATTTTAAATCGTTTTCTAGTTTAATTTGTGTTATATATTTGTGCTTACGTTTTTATAAGTACCCTCATATGTGTGGACAAGTTAAATATATGCAATATTTATTATGAATACATTTTTAAACGATTATATATAATTATTAAGTATTTATTAATTGCTTATCATTACAAAAGTTTTCAAAAGTATTTGTTAAATAATTAGTAAACATTTATTAGTTTTTAAGTATATATTAAAAAAACAACACTTAGTAAATTTTTGTACTATTTATTAATTAAAAAAATATGCGTGTTAAACATTTTTTTTTATATTTTTAAACATTATTAAATAATCACGCGTATTCTTTCTTATGTTTTGTGCAATATGAAGATAAGAGATGATAAATGATAATAATATTTTTGGGTTTTATGAATCTCCTTGGCTCTCTCTATAAATATCTCCCTCAAATAATAATAATAATAATAATAATAATAATAAT